TTGGTTGGTAACTTTAGGGTCTTTTCTTTTTCAAAAGCCATGTCAATTTTCCTCTTGGCCATATCCTTTTCTTATTTTCTGATCCCTGAAGATGGTATTGATAATATTTTAGGTAATCCTGGTGGTTGTTAGTTCATTCTCTTAGAATTTTACCGGATTTTATAAAATATATGTGCTTATATTGTCAAAACAGTAAGTAGTGCTCCTGACTTTCTTATGTAAGACCAGAGTGTTTAGATTCAGCTACAGTCAAACAAGTATTCACAATCTGCCAAGTCCTGTGCTAGGTACTATGGCTACAGGCATGGAAGACCCGGCCTTGCCCTCTGGGGGTGCTGAGTCCAGTTACTGGAGGGAGATACATTCACCAGTCAGCACTCCACAGCACAGTCTCCCACACTCAACTCCTTTGCTTCTGTGTTTCACAGGAAATCTCAAAGCAAGAATTTTAATACATATATCCAAAATAGAGCAGAGGAAGAAGGTTTGGGACCAAGGTCATAAGTAAATCTAGGAAAATCTGTTTCTCTTGACAGTAGGGAAATCAACAAAGACAAAATGCCTTCAAATATTTCCTTTAATTCCCCATCCTCTCTTGCCAACCAATTTACTGTCAAAATTGATCTCCCTGTCTGGCCTCCATGGTTGGCAAGGAAAGCCTGAGTCTTGCCTCTCCTCCCTGCTTGATAATTACTGGAGTTATTATTGCATAGTTTTTCTTTCAGGACACTTCAAAATGACTTTCTTGTGTGATATTAACCGCACTGATTTTCACTCCTTAATTCTGACATTCTTTTTAAAGGATTGTTTTTTTCAGGGCTTGCCAGTGCACAATGTTCCCTAACCTCTGTCACAGTGGCTGGCCGATTCCCTCTTCTTCATCTTTTGCTCCTTTCCTGTTGCCCTTGAATTTCTATACTGATCTTTTGAGACTTATTTAGAGCAGACAAGTTTTATTTTGTGGAATTAGTGTTTCTGTTTTGACGGCAATGATGAATCTGCTTTAAATGTTTTCATCTGACCTCAGTCAGTAGCCCCATTCTTAATTCTGCTGGTGGAGGGAGGGTTGGGAATGTTTCCTACTTAAGAGAAGACCAGAGCTTCAGAAACATGGCAGCCAGTCCCGCCTGGAGAGCGTCTAAGCCTTGCCCTGTCTTTCCCCCGGCAAAACTGCTTGGATCCTCTTCCAGGCAGCCAGGGCTTTTTCTTACCTCTGTCCAGCTTGGGATCAGCCTCTCTGCCCATCTCCCACCTTCCTTCCTTCCTCCTCGAAGTCTAACATCTTTTTGAGTAAGGCTCATGCTTCAGGTCAGCTCTCCTCCAGCCAATCTCCCCCTACCCTCAGCCTCCTCACCCCATCCTGTCTCTTCTTCAAAACAAATGCAGATGTATTTTCTCAGAAGTTGTTAGGAAAGCATGCTTCTTGATGAACTTGTTCATCACTGATAACCTGCCCAGGATTGGCTATCTGTATGCAACACAGACAGAGTATGACCCAAAAAACAGTGTGTTTCTATTAAAAATGATTACAGTAAAAGGCACATTACCATAATCCTCCTTAAAGTGTGCTCCCTCGCTTTGAACACACTTGTTTCCTCATTCTTGCCACTTTCTGAAGCAGTTCTGAAAGTCTTTTTTCTTGACTGTCTTTAGTTGTGGCTGATGTGATGTCCTGAACTAATTCAAAACATTTCCTTTTCATGGTCATTTTGATTTTGAGAAAGAGCCAGAAGCTGTACAGCACCAGACCTGGTGAACAAGGTGAACGAAGACACACGGTGATGTTTTTTATAAGCCTGCCTTTCTGTTGGATGGTACTTGGCAGCAACATTCACCATATTTTTGCCTACACCTTGTGAAGACACTCACGAAAGAGGATTGCAGAATTGCTTCAGAAAGTGGCAAGCATGATGGGATAAGTGTATTCAGTGCAAGAGGCAGTATTCTGAGGGGGATGCACAGCAGTGTGCCCTTTAGTATATTACATTTTTTCTAATTTAAACTTGCACTATATTTCTAATCACCCTTTGTATACTTGTATAACATTCACATTAGAGACAAGTCTGGGAGGCTGCCCACTGTCCCATTGGGTCCCAAGTTGGTCCTACAGGACAGGAGAAGTGATTCTAACACTGTCCTTCTGAAAGGACAGTTGGCCCTCACATGCTTTGTCCTTCCCTTGTCTATGCTGGACCATGACATGGAGACTGACATTTATCATTAGTGAAGGCCAGCTACTCTCACTAGAAAGATCAGTTTGTCCCCTGCATCCCCTCTTTTAAACCAGCTATGATTCAGCCTCCTCAGATCCTAACAGCTGGGGGTAGGCTCAGATGTCTGGGGGAGGGAATGAGCCTGCAAATCGCAGATCAGAGCGTGATGATGCTTTGTTGAAGGACTTTATGGAGGGGCTTCTACTCCCTTTAGCTGACCCAAGAAATGCCTGGAGGTGCGGCTCTTCTGTGATAAAATAACAGCTCACTAACCCACTTATTTATTCTTCCCTACTATGTACAGCAATTAAGTGAGTCATTAAAGGTAGCATCAGTACTGTGAGTGGCTGAGATGCATTAGTACAGTATATGAGTTCACCTTCTTATTTCACTCCCACCCTTCCATTCTCACCGCCCAAGCATGCGCGCAGGAGGGGCTTTGAGACAACAGAATGAGAACAGAGAGAGAAAGAGAGAGACCAGAACAGAAAGGTAGAGACGGCTCAGCTGCAGAAGGCAATCAAAGTAGTAAAGAACTCCTAGTTGGTTGAAGGGAATGGTAAGGAACGCTGGGCACTTGGCATCCAGGCTCTGGGACAGCTGTGAGGTGGCAACGGCTAGAGAGTGCAGGCAGGGCTGCAAGAAGGGTTTCTGGGTTGTAAATTGGCCTCTTTAAAGCCTCTCCAGGAAGGCAGGTAAAGAATAGCTTTCTTTCCTACTTTCCATGTCTTTTAACATTTTCTAAATTACTTTTTAATTGCCAGACTATGCTTCTTTATAAGCAACTCAGGGCAAAAATGGGACCAGAAATGGCCCCCAGAATTCTTTAGGCTTGTCCATATAACAAACATTCAGCGTTTTGTGTATGTGTGGTATGGTTTTCTGCAGCTTGCAAAAGGAAACACAGAATTACTGTTTCTTACCCCATGACCAACTTCTCACTTTAGACTTCCTTTCCCCGCTTTCCAGGCCCCCAAAGGAATACAAAAGCTATTCTGGAATGTCTTCCAATGATGCCTGTTCAACCTCCAAACATTTGCAAACTCTCCGCTATATTAGTTAAACAAACAGCAGCAAAGAGGAGTGAAGCATGGCCCTAACCTTAGAGGCCCAGTTACTAACAGCTAAGATGAGCACACAGCAAATCAGTAAGACAGTCGGTGCTGCAGTGGAGGTAGAGGCAAGCTACCACGAGCTCACAATGGGAGATTCTTGAAGAATAAGAAGGATTTACCAGCAGACACAGTGGAGGAGGGAACAGGGTCTGTCTAGCAGCAGCAAATGCACTGTCACCCGGCAGGGGAGAAAAGAACAAAGCTTCATTAGGAAGCTTCTGGGGTGGTGCAGTGACAACAGGTGTCACAGCTGAAGCGTAGACAGATAGCACCACAGAAAGCTTTGCCGGCCATAAGCTGTAGGGCGAGGGGAGTGAAGAGTTACAACAGAGACTGGATCCACTCTTCTTTTTTAAAATGTGTTTCTTGTAGGGGTGGTTTAAAGAGAGACCAGAGGGAGGAGGGCAAAATGGGGAGTTTTGCACTGTTACAAGAACGTCCAAAATATTTAGGAAAAAAGACAGCGGCAAGGGAAAGAGAGGGGGAGCATACAGGCGAAGAAATGCTTTGGAAGAGGGCGATGGAAGGATGAAACTTTATGCATCAGGTTGGGAAACAGAGGTTTCCAGATGAAGAAAATGTCCTGAGATTATTCTATTCCTTCTATGGGCAACTAATCTATATGTTTCCTTAAATAAAATGGAGACTACAGAAAGAGAACTAGGCTTTGGATAAAGGTAAATGCATATAATTTGGGGGCTGTGAAGCATAAGAACTCCAAAAAACATCCAGCTAGAATGCTCAATAACACAGGACAGACAGGCTACAATTATATCTTGTTTTGTTTTTTTCGTTTTGTTTTTCTTCCAGTACCAGGAATCGAACTCACAACCTTTGCTTTAGCTTTGCCACTGAGCTAAATCCCCAGCCCCAGGCCACAGTTATGTCTCCTTCATTACCGACCTTCTCTACCAGGCAGATGTAAGACATACAAGGCATTAATGCCTGCAAACGGGGCCCTTGAGGAATGTTAAAGTATTTTATAGACTTTTGTCTTGACATTGATCTAATTCATGTAGGAGCGGGTCACGTCTAATAACTGATGGTGTGCGCCTACAATGGTGAGATGAAATTCCCTCATTTTTCTAAAATCTGAATATTTTGCAGCCTTAGATCTTATCATGTTTATATTAAGAGCTATAAACTGGATTAATCTTCTCCCTTGGCCAATCGATAGCCCTACGCTTTATTTTTCTCTCCTGAAAAAGAAGCTGTTTGGAGGAATTGAAAGCAGAGGTTAATGACAGGAAGAGAAAACTGTTCAAACTGTCTTCGCTTAGAAGACAGTCTAGTTGGTAGCTCCCAGAAATGGCCAGATTAACCTACTGTGAGTTTTATCTCCAGAAGTGGAGGAACAGATTAGACAGCAGCAAGCCAAATTCCTAGTGATTTTATTATTTGAAAGAGGTTTTCCTATATAGATTTACATATAAATACCAGCCACTTTCTGATGAGTGAGAGAAAATGTAAGAACTATTTTTAAAAAAATCTATTTGAATCCAGACTTAATGCCAGAACCCACTGGCCTAAAATTAACTAAAACTTGTTTCCAGTTTCCAACAGTAACGTGCGTCTCCTTTTCCCTAGACTTAGCATCACTTATGTTTAAACTTACATGTAAAAGGTCCCAGTAACCTTTGCCAACAGGATGCTTAATTGGGTAGTAACTCACATTATAGTGGATCTCTGCCAACTCTTCCTCTGATTCTATACTTCCATTTGCTGGTGGTTCAAAAGTAGCTCCTTGGTTTTCATCTTAAAACAATCCATTGTGAAGTTTTCAGATATTAGTGAGATGACATCAGGTCCTTTCTGATGAAAGCCTTCTAGGAAAAAATAAGCAAGCTCTGTTCATGGAACATTAAATCAAAACAAAGCTCATCCTGGGACTGTCTCAGAACATTCTGTTGAAATTAAATTCTGTACCTGCCAGAGAATGTGCTATGGTCCCCAAGGTGTGTTCGGAAGGCTCACGGGGTGAGTTAACCTGCGTCAGCCCTAGATTTCTAACATTTCCTGTCTTGCTGGAAGATTAAGGAAAGACTAGACACAGGAAGTGGACTCGGGAATGGGCTCTGCTGCTGGGAGGTTAGCTCTCCAGGTACTGATTCCAAGGGGGGGTTTCTCAACTCCATAGCATTGCCCGGTGTACAGAACAAGGGGAAAATGACTCAGAAACTGTGTAATGCTGCAGGGGCTCAGGGCTACATCATGGGTATACTAACTGGGGAACTGCAAAACTAAGCGCTTATCCTGGTTTGACACTAACTGCACAAGTCACTTGCTACCTCTGAGTTTTAACCTCCTCTAAAAATAATAAGAGCTAGAATGTGTTGAATACTTCCTATGTTCCCAGAACTATTCTTAGCATCTCTGTCCGGTCTTAATCCTGATTTCTCCTGTGGGGTATGACCATCACCATCTCCATTTTGCTGACGAGGAAACAAAAGTGCATGGAAGTTATATTATTTGCTCAAATGGACAAAGTCAGAAATGACAGCTTGCATTCTGACTCTGGCAGACAGAGTAGCTGCTGGCTCCGCCCTTATCCATGTCCGTGGTACCTTCTAGAATGAAGTTAGGGGCTGGAGGAACACCAGGGTCCTCTGGGACCTACCTGGGTGTGGGAAAAGGGCCCTACTTCTGGACTGGGAGTCCACAGCCTTCAGCATGACCTCCTTCCTTCCATCTAAGCACACCTGCTGGCATTATGTCCTGCACTGCAGGGCTTCGTTTGGCCCCTGTGCTCCACAGAAATGCTGGCCAGGGCTGCCTTCTGCTGAGCATGTGGGTGAAGTCAAATCTGAGTGCTAGCGGACCTCGGAGAAATGAAGCTACTGGATTGCTGGCCACAGAGGAAAACTCTGCAGCAAGAAGCTGCCAACTGCAGGGAGACAGGAACCGCTGCAAAGCAGAGGGTGCAGCTGAGGCTGGCGCTGGATCTTAGGGCCAGAGCCTGGCCAGGGACCCAGTAAAACCAATAGCAGAAGCGGGAGCTAGAAGGAGAAACCAAATTCAGGCTCAAAAAGTAGCATGGGTGTCGGGGAGGGGGGCCACTGAGGCAGCGGAGGCTGTCAGGAGGTGAGGGTGCCTAGTGAGAAGAGGAAGGAAGCACAGGCAGTCCCCAGAAGGACCTCGAACAAAGGGGTCAAGAGGGTGACAGTCAAATTTCCCTCGGTAGCCCCGGAGCAGCAAAAGCCCTAGCGTAAGCCCTGAAATGGAATGAGAGGGAAACGCAGAAAGCTGCGAACAGCTACCGAGGAGAGGAGGAAGTGGGAGATGCGCCGCTTCCTGTAGCAAGAACGCTGACAAAGCTGGGTGGGGACTAGTCCCTGGGCTGCAGCCGCCCGCTACACATACACACAGCGCTGCCGCCGCCGCTCTGTGGGCGACTCCTACTACTGCTGGACGGCTGCGCCGGGCTGGGCTGAGCTCGCTGCAAGCAACAGCAGCTCCGCGAGGGGAAGCCGCTCTCTTCCGACCGAGCCCCGGAGCCAAGGTAAGGGACACGTTTTCCACGCTGCTCCTTTCTGACGGAGGGGGCGGGAGGGGGAGAAATGACCAGTGCCTGTGGGTTCTTTTTATTTTAGGGCAGATTTCTACGGGAAGCTGGATGAGTTGCTTCAGGATTTGGGGGAAATGATTAGAAAGGCTTTGGAGGATGATGGTTAGATGTGTGACACATTTTCTTAAAACAAAATCCCTCCTCCGTGCCTAGCTTTGGTGACTTACCAGGAAAACAGGCTGAATGTGAGAAGCGGTTTGCCCAGCTTGGCGGGGAGGAGAGAAGCAGGGCTGAGTTGGAATCAGCTGGAGCTGAGACCTGGGTCTGGCATCCGAGCTGCAGTCCCCAGGCTGAGGGGTGTGAGTGGTGGGAAACGTTAGGCGCATTCTCTCTTTCACCGTCTCTGCTTTGCAATACAATGGCTGTGATTTGGCTTTTGGGGGTAGCGGTTTAAATCCTTTTGTCCTGAGATTTGATTTTTTTTTTTGGCCAACAAAGTCGATTTGTGTCCAGGAGGGACAGTATTTACCTTTGAAAAACGGCATCTTCCTCCCTCAGCTCTGTGAGGCTGTCTTCAGGCAAGCCTCTGAAACAGCTACCATTTGCCAGTGGGTCTTAGGCTGAAGTTCCCTCCTTGTTCCCGGGAACGTGGCGGTCTAGGGAGAGTAAGTGATGTAGGCACGGATGTGATGTTTACGTGCATTTAATGCATCTCTAGGTCAAGGTGGAAGTTAACCTCATCGGGGAGAAAATGTAAACGTGAGCTGGGCAGTTCCTTATGGGTAGACGCCGTAGAAACTAGTACAACCCGGACTAGTACAATGCAAGCGAAATTATTGTTCTTTAATTTCCTGAGCAATGGGTACTCTTAATGAGTGTCCTGAGTTGTTCATATTTATGAATGATTGATAAAATACGGTTAGAGCTGAGATTGTAAGGTTCCTTTGGCAGGATATATAGGAGAAATAGTTTAATAGCCTCGCGTAGCATGATTTTTTTTAAAAAATCAAGCTTTGTATCTTCAACAAAAAGTGTGGTTAAGCAATAATGGTTATTGATAAAAGGGTTTTGTTTGGATTTTTATAATGAAATGAGGTACTTTTTCAAAAGAAGAGAAAGAAAATCGCTTATCCTGGAGTAAAAAAAATAAAACGGCATATGTTGATGCTCATAAATTCTTAAATACAAGTTTTAAGAGAGTAAATAATACCGATTGAGAATGTATATACCCTCCTGATGGTCCCTCGGGGGAAGGCGGTCGGGGGTTGCAGTTTTTGTTGTTTTCGTTTCGTTTTGCTTTGTTTTTGCCATCTTTATGATATTGACTTCGCTCCCTGGAATTTGTCGAGTAGCATTTTCAGAGACAGGAAGCTTATACTGATACTAAAGAAAAATGTCTATTTTTTTTTTTCCTGAGGCTTTTCATTAAAGTAAACCTGCACCATTCCTAAGAGACAAAGTATTACTGATATTGAAACCACAGAGCCAGTCTGAAAGATTCACTGAATTTATGCAAAGCTGTGGGCAAAACAGGGCATGTCTCAGATTCCACAGTTCCACCTCTTTGCATCTCATCCTCAAGTGAAATATGTAACAATAATCTTCCCAGATAGGAGATTTGGGCTGGGTCACAGAGACCCGTCATCAAACTGCATGGCATGAAATGAGGCAGACCGCTGGGGATCTGGGCTGGACTTTGGTATCCATCCATGTACAGGCTGTAGTCACTAGACAGTGCCAACACCCTGCTTTGTTTGGGGAGGTATAGAAAATGTGCATTACTCCTCTGTGTGTGCTTCACACAAAGTAGGAAAATAAAACCTTGACCGATAGGCGCAGTAGCGTCAAGAGGGCCCCCTGCTACCTTTCCGACAACCACTAAGAGGTGCCTATTTTCTGTACAGCACAAAGCATTTCCTTAATTGTTCAGTTCTAGCTTGAAGCAGAACGTTAGTAACAGCGCACCAGCAACTATGATGGTAGCATGTTTAGGGAAAAGATGAATATGCTCCTGTGTTGCAAAATTAGACTATTTTCACTGATTCTGGCCATATGGAATATTGAAAGACATAATGCTTTTGCTCAGAGTATTCAGTGGCTTGGGAGGGAGTCGACTGCAATTTTAATTGTGTCTTTCCTCCTACCATATGGCCAGCGGCTGAATGGGATCGTGATTCCATTATTTCGTGGCCAGCCCTGGGCTTCAGATGGTGGGCATGTAGTGGGTGTGCTTGCTCGGCTGACTTTTTTTAGTAGACTTCAGAAGGAAGACCCAACTTTTAAGTCTAAAAGCTCTGTAGTCAAAGCAGAAAGCCTGCTCACAAAAGACTTCTGTGGGTAGAAGAAAAGAACACCAGGGAGTGGAAAGAACAGAGGCTTCCAAGCCAGGCAGATCCAGCTTTGACTCCTTCCTACCTCTGCTTCTTACTCTTGACCCGATGGATTAATTACTTTACAAGCCTTCGTGGGTTCATTGTAAAGAGGGATCAGTAGTACACAGTTTTTGTTTGGCTTGGGTCTTGCTTTTGTGTGTAGATAAACAAGTGCTTAGCACAGAGAAGATAGTGAAGGGCCATGTTTTTTCTTCCTTGCTGGCATAAGGCAAGGTTAGTATAGCTTTAATCTTTGCCTGTAAGTGTAGAGGAGACTTTATTGTGAAAAAATATTCATCACATAAAATTTCTCATTTCAACCATTTTTAAGTGTACAGGTTTGTGATATTAATTACAATCACTTATCGTGTGAGTCACCCATCCATCCACAGAACTCTTTCAATTTTACAAAATGGAAAGAAACTGCCCCTGTGAAGCAGTAACTCCTCATTCTGCTCACCTCCTAGGCCCTGGTAAACACCATTTACTTTGTCTCTAGAATGTGATTCCATAAGTGGAATCAGACAGTAGTTGCCCTTTTGTAACTGGCTGAATTCACTTTGTGTACTGTTGTCAATGTTTATCCATGTTGTAGCACATGTCAGATTTCCCTTCTTTTTAATGGCTGAGTAATATTCCACTGTCTGCATATACCACATATTATTGATGCATTCATCCTTTGATAGACACTTGGACTGCTTTTTGGTTATGATAAATAAGGCTGCTATGAGTACAGGTGTACATATATATGTTAGAGTTCTTGTTTTAACCTTTGGATGTCCAGAAGTGCTGGACTATAATAATTCTGTGTTTAATTTTTGAGGAACCCCCCCCATAGTAGTTTCTACAGCAGCTGGCTCCATCAGATGTGCACAAGGGCTGCAGTGTCTCCACATCTCACCAACACTTGTTTACCCAATGGGTAGGAAGTGGTATTTCATGGTGCTCTGATTGGTGATTAGTGATGTTTCACGTGCCCATTGGTGCTTGCCATATCCTCTTTGGAGAAATGTCTTTTTCAAGTCCTTCACTGCTTTCTTTCTTTCTTTCTTTTTTGATCCCAGGAATTGAACTTATGCCCTTGTGCTTGCCAGGCAGGTGCTGTGCCACTGAGCTATATCCCCAGCCCTTTTACTGCTTTCTAATTGGATCATTTTTGAGGAGACATTTTTAAATGGTGGGCTCTCTTAACATTATATCATTAGATTATGATTATAATACTTGTGTTTAATCTGTATAAGCCTCATCCCTGCCCAAATTTGTACTTTTCTTAAAAGGTGAAAAATCGGAAGGCAAAAGCAAGACAATATACTTAGGTGCTGCTGACGGGTGATCTCCAAAGCCTGATCATGTAGTTCAGCCCTGCGCGTGGACCATTTCACTAGTGATCTTGCTGGTCAAGTCACAGATCAGTCCACCGCCAAGGTGTCACTGGGAGGCTGTTACCTCAGCTGCTTTTGGGTCCGTCCCCACTCATTGGTGAAGCGACTCAGGATGAAAAAAAAAGGCCTAATAACAGAGTCAGAAAAAAAAGGAAAAGTTAAAGTACTAAATTGTTCTTGCCTTTAAAATGACCAGCATTTTAAATGCCCATGTAGAGGGGCTGCTGTAATTAAACAAGAAATGAGTTTCTGAGATAAGTTTCTGTTAACAGAACGTGATTCTAATCCAGATTTCACTTTCAAAAATAAAGAACCTTTCTGTTTCATTTTCTACTACAGATTTCATTCCTAAGCCCTAAACCAGTGAGTGAGGCAGGATGTGGCTGGGAGGAGAGCTGGGCGTAAAGACTAAGGCGGTCTCTAGAAGGGCAGCAGTATCTGACCTTGGTGGTGGGGCAGACACTGACTTTGCAGGGTTTGAGGAGCCCCTGAGTGACTATGTTAACTTTCTGCAGTGCCCTCTGTGCATGAGTGATGGGGAAATGGCAGTTTGCAGTTCATGATCCTCAGTTTTCTTTACTTTGCAAATCTATAATCCTACAATCACTATGACAACCCAGGAAGCTTGCCTTACTAGGCCTAGATGAGAGAAGAGAGTCACAGAATGTTGTAGTTTGTGTCTTGATGTCCCCCCAAAGCTTCATGTAGTCATGGGGGGTGGGCTTTTCAGAGATGGCTGTATCTGGAGTGTGTGATGCTGGGATTGAGGATGTGTGATCAGTTTAGTGATTGGTTTGGCACTGCCCTAATCCCAGCAGCCTAGATAGAGTAGAAAGGAGGCAGAAAGATGCTATTAAAGTCGCTTGTTGCTTTTGCTGTCTTCTACCGCCATGAATGATTGCCTGCCTGCCATGTGCCACCCAGCCTTGGAGCCAGCGGATTATGGACTGAAACCTCCACAAACTGTGAGCTAAATAAACCTTCCCTCCCTTAACTTTGGGCTCAGGTATTTTGTCTCAGCAATGGAAAAATGTAACTAAGACTCAGAGTTATAGTCACCCTTTGCCTCTAAAGTAATAGTTAATTAACCTAATTTGTTCCGTCTACAATGTATACATGTAGGGAACCATCCCATTATACCCCATAAGCACATTCAGTCATTATTTATCCATTAAAAATAAAATAAAAAGACTTAGTCCTTGGGCTGAGACAGTGTAGAAGAGTAAAGCTGAAAATGACC